CAGCCAGGTGAGGCCTGTGCGTGCCGGGCAAGGTATCTTGTAGCATCTGCTGTTGATACAGTCAGAGGCTGAACCGAGCGAGGGCTCCTTTCTTAGTCTGTCTCATTGGCTCCTTTGCCTTGTCACTCGGGCAGAGCCAGCTGCTGCCTTTCCTGCCGCTAATTATTTCTCCTCTGTTGACCCATCTCCCTGTGATGTGGTTGTGCAACTTTGTGCGGTGAAAACTCTGAGGCCTCCAAGTCCGCAGCCAGCAGGGACCATTGTGATCGGGTATCTGACCCCCTGGCTAGTACAGGCCAGAGAACTTCCCCAAAAGAATTCATTTTAGTGGAACGTCTAGGAAAACCTCCTGTCTTGATTTAGAAATTGTCCGTGATGGAGAGTCCACCACGCCCCTTGGTAAATTGGCCAACGGGTTACTACTTTCACTGTTAAAAATGTACATCTTATTTCCAGTCTGGATTTGTCTCGCTTCAATTTCCAGCTCTTGGATCGTGCTCGACCTTCCTCTGGTAGCTAGAAGAACCCATTATTAAATATTCATTCCCCATGTAGGTACTTACAGACTGTAGTGAGTCACCGCTTAACCTCTCTTTCAGCTAATTCGATTGAGCTCTTTGGGTCTCACTATAAGGGAGGTTATTTTAAGCCTTTAATCATTCTCGTGGCTCTTCTCTGACCCCTCTCCAATGGATCAACATCCTCGAACTGTGGGCGCCAGAACTAGACACAGTATTCCAGCAGCGGTCACACCCGTGCCAAATAGAGAAGTAAAATAACCTCTCTGCTCCTACTCAAGATGGCCCTGTTTATGCATCGCAGTGGAGTCGCTCTGGATTGACGCTGGTATAAATGAGTTTGGGACTGACACCCCCATTGACCCATTGAGGATCCTCTCCATCCATAGGAGTGGGGTGGGTGAGCTGGCCCAACCAGTGTTTACTCTGCCGGGCGAGCCAGCAGTAACCCCTGTTTCATCAGCAATAAGTGAGGCAGCAGGCAGAGGTGTAGAAAAGATCCTGCCCAAGTGTGCCGAGCGGCCAGTGGTACGAGCTGGAGACCTAGAGTTTGCCAGTGAGCCGTCTGGACGTGGCTCTTGGCTTGCACGTGAACCGAGCAGTAGCCTTGTTTGGGGGAAAGCCCAGGGCCAGAGTAGCCGCTCCTCATCTTTGCTGGACGGGCCGGTATCCCTAGAGCTTTCAGGAGTTCCCCGGGGTCCTCCGGGCGTGGTGGGAGTGGGGTTGGTTTGTCTGAGCTAGCATTCAGCTCCATTTTCAACGTGTGCAGAGAGTGACTGTGTGCTCTCAGCGGCATCAAAGGCCGGGTGGGAAGGGAAAACCACGAGAGCGGGAAAGTAAAATCTCCATGAGCGTGCGAGTCCTCCATGGAGCGGGCCCCTGAATGGCGGGTACGTCTTCCCAGCCCGCGGCAGCGAGCCTCCTAGCCCCGGCAGCGAGCCTCCCAGCCCGGGTCGACCGCCTCGGCTCGCGCGAACGCTGAAAATAGCTGCGTTGGTGGTGCTTTGAAGTTGCGACTCAGGCTCTGAAGGGGCCCAAATCCCGCCCGAGCTGCAGCTTCAAAGCACTTGTCTGCACAGCTGAAGTTAGCAGAATTCTGGGACGCTTTAAAGGGACGGGAGAGACCAAGCGAAGGCCTCACGGTCGCAGCCGCTACCACCGCGCAGTGATACCACGTGGACGTCACGAGAGAGTGGTGCCTTTATCTGGGAGGGTAAAGTTTGACAGAGGGGGACCACAGATAGGGAGAGAAGGGAGCTGGGCGCCAGCCAGCCAGTCTGCCTCAGTCTCTGTCACAGAAGTCTGAGACGGACAGGACCTATTCGCCTGTCCGTCTGTAGCCGGTGCATGAACATGTCGTACAGTGCTTGTTGTCCAGCCCAGCTATTGGGGCTTCCATCCTTTTCTTGGGGGGGGAGGGAAGGATTCCCTGTCAAGAAGTATTTCTGAGAATCTTCTCTGCCTTCATGCCATCACCGCCAGTTCTGCTGCTGGTTACGCCCCAAATGATCCCTCTCTCTCCTTGATGTTCACGCCCTTCAAATATTTGTTGACTGTTCTCATGCCTGCCCTTGGCTGACACCCAGCCAAGCTACGGTTAACTCTTTCCCTCCCGGGGATCAATCTCTCTGATCAGTTCTGTTGCGCTGCTTTGGGCACCTCTCTGGTTTGCCGATATCTGATTGGTAGTGAGGGGCCCAGAGCCGAATGCAGGAGGCCAGGGAGTGGTTGCACCTGTGCCGTACAGGGAGGGACCGTCCTGTCTCTCCCCTGCGATCAGTGGCAGATTAGCTATGGGGCCCGTGCCCAGGGACCCCAGCAGGCGGGACGGGGAAAGCTCCCATGCCCTGATCCCACTCCCCAGCAGAGGAAGCCCCCAGTGCCCCCCGACCCTCTCTCCAGCAGAAGCACTTGGGAAGCCCCAGCACCCGGACCCCCGCTGCGGTCCTGGGACTGACTGGAGGAGCTCTTGCTGCATGCCATGGCCTCATGGCTGAGGAGCTCTCATTCCCGCTGTGGCCGGGGGCCGTGGCACAGGGACTGAGCTTCTCCCTGGGGGCAGGGAGGGGCGGGGCCGCAGCAGGGGACAGAATGGGGGGACCTTGGGTGGAACAGGGGTGAGGTCCAGGGGAAGGAGCAGAAAGGGGTGGGGCTTTGGGCGGAGCTGCAGGCAGAGGGGGTGGAACTGCTGGTGGAAGGGGTGGGGTGGGGCCCCCACTTGCTCTGGCCCAGGGCCCCAGGAAACCTTCATCTGCCTCTGTCTGTGATGGCTCCGACTGGCTGGTGTTGGCTGTGATCTGACCTTGAAGGTTTCTGCCATCATGAATTGTTCCTGGGTAGAATGCAGTGCCCGCTTCCCGGACTGGTAGAGGGAAGCACCCGGGCTCTGGGTATAATCCCCTGAGGAGGGGGATGAGCTGATCACTAGCTGAAGCAATACCTATAGGTCCCAGTGCTGCTCTAACTGGCAGATTCTCCTTCAGCTCAAGGGAGTTGAGTCCTCACTCATTACTGCAGAGTCCAGAGGGGCCCCATGGAGCAGGATAGGAGGACAGGAGAGTCCGGTGTCTACACCGTTTAATTTCCTTTGTGTCGTTCAGATAGCAGAAGTGGGGTGGATGTGTGTGGTTTTTTTGGGGGGTGGGTGGGGGCGTGAGCGCCACTGCCCCTTTCTGACTGTTACAGCGTCAGGTTGTCTCAAATCTCCGTCCCTGCTCTCTAGTGCCCACGTGCTGGGTGGCACAGGGCTGTACGGAGGAGTAGGTTCCGGGCAGAGCCGAGGGCGGGTGAACGGTCTCAAGCATTGGTTCGACTTCTCTTTGGCTGGGTCCGGGAGGTTTGAGTGTTGGCTTTCCCCGGGCGTTCGCCCTTTGCGAGCACAGGCCTCCGAGGGGAGCGGACTCCGAGCGCCGATGCTCGAGGGCCTGCTGGAGTGGGATTTCAAGCTGTATGTTTGTCAAATTCAGAGCTCTGGGCTGCATTCGTTAGTTACGTATGCGTCCAGCCAGGGGCCAGGAGTGATACTACCTGACTTGGGGAACTGACAAAGACCAGGTTGGAGAGGAGAATCCTTCATTGATTTCCTCATTCCTCCCCCCCCCCCCCTGT